GTCATACATGGATCAAAAATACGTCACGTCTTCCTGTTATTGTGGAAAAACATAAACTGCCAGTTTCTAGGTAGTATCTGATATTTATTCTAATGTTATTTTAGTTGAGAAAGATATTTTTCTTCAAAATTTTCAAATATCATTTTTGTCTGCAGCTTTAGAAATACCGTTAGATTTGATTACAATTGCCCTCGTCATAATTCACAACTGCAGAGGAAAATAAGGTCAAAAGAGGTTAAAGGATATATTCAAACAAAATATTACCTGCCATGTGCTCCTTACTTTTCATGATCCGGTAAACAGAAAATCCTTAGACCATTCTTTGTGAAAATAATGACCTTATAATTTGTATGAAAGACCTTAGTCAACATTCAACCTAACGACATATTGTATTTGCAATTAAGGTCATTGTATCGACCATAGAATTTGTGAAATGTTCTCTTTAGATGAGATTGTTGATATCCTTCTATTATTAACTTATTTGTAAATAGCCTGCCTCGTTACACATGTCACTTTGGTGTTCACATTAACAAGTACAGTTCTTTTCTATTTTCTTTCTATAACTTTCTAAGGTTGCATATTCATGACAAATACTAGTAGATAAATTAGTTTTGTATCTATATATCGATATAGTGTCAGGGACGGTCCTTCTTGATATTTCGTTCCATTAGTTCCTTTGTTGCAAAGAGATTAAACTTATTTATTAATTATATTACCTTGAAAAACGAAATAGACTTCAATAAAAGTTTATGAAATACAAAATTTTGAATTTAGATTACAAGGTTTACATCAATTCAATCTTACTGAGATGATGGTTTTGAAAATACAAAAACAAATAAGAAGGTCCTTTACTCAGGCAAATATAAATAAAATTTACACCACTGTAGTCATTTCATGGTGGTAGAATTTTGAAATTGAACAAGGAACGCGATGATTCTACTCTGGCCTTTGGCGACCTTGTTCTTTGTACATTTGTGCTGTGATAGGAAATATACTTCCGTCTTTTTTTCAAAAAGAAAAATGCAATATGGACAGCTACGATAAAAAAAATATTATAATTGTTCCAACCAGAGCTTAAGTCATTTTGTGTAATCATTTGTATATACTCTTGTCATCGTCAAAAGGGGAACACTACTAGAAACAAGGAAAATCGTTTTGAATGAGAAAGAATAGGTAGTTGCAGATGAAAAGTGTGGTTGAATTATATGATCAAATTGTATGAGAGTTCATGTCATAAAAATTGAATTATTTCCCATTTCCTCTCCATTTTTCTGATGTTTTGTTCGCATTTCTTTATTTTTATTTCCTCTCAATAGAAATGATTTTTATTGGTAATCTAAATAATAAACAAGTTTCTTTTCTGAAAGAATAAAAAAAATCATTTGACAAAAATGTGATATGTTACCTATTATCGAACGATTTTTCCCCAGTGTTACAGTGCGGAATTGCTTGGCTAAGCTCATTTGCAACACCGCTTGAACAAGAACTTTCTACCTTGTTGCATTTGGTGACATGCAAAACCAAGTGTAAAGGTAGGTAAAACTCCAATTTTCAATTTACTTTGGAGGAAGAGTTTATCAGCTCTATATAAGAATTCTTAGTTATTAGATAAACCTCATAAACCGCTGACAGTATTGCATTATAAGACTGCATTAGATATACTGAGCAGCCTTTTTTATTTGATTTTCTATTTTTCCTTATTAAACTTTCCTATATTTTGAAGGTGGTGTATTTTAATATATAATCGTATGTCAAATAACGTTTTTTTTTTTCTAAATCTCTTCTATTGTTTGATATCCAGCTGGTCGTATTCTTTATCCTGAATATTATCACTCTGAGATTCTGTGTATATCAAAATTTACAAAACGTTGTTAATCTATCGTGTCATTTCATTGAAACCGTGCCTTGCATTTTTTGAAATAAAGTAACTGATTGTTCATCATATCATTCACTGCAAAACCTGATTTAAAAGTGTATATGATCATTGATTCATATGTATTTCATTTTAATAAGAAGAAAACAAAAAAATACCTATGTCGACTTGACAGTCTCCTAAAAAACCCAGAACCTTGTTACAAAGCTTTTGCAATAGCCACTGACTGTCATAACATTCCCTTTTCTCCTACAGATTCTCTCCAAGTGTACAGATTACTAGTGAGACTTTATAATGTACAATTTTTTTTTTTTTTTTAATTGCATATTCTAACATTCATATATTTTGTCCGTTATCTAAAGCTAGACCATTTTTCATGTGTGCAATGTATATTTCATCCGACTATTTTAAAGGTCAGCAATTTAAAATAAATCTTTGAGAAGAAAGCGTCATATCAGTTTTGTTAACGTTTCATTAACAATGGAATAAAAATCCTAAGGGGGAAGTGAACATTTTATGTTTGCAATTTAGGCTTTTGATATTTTTTTTCATTGATTTATTATCTTTTTACGAGCGTATATGTTTCCTGATTATATTAAAATCTCTTACTTATTAAGTTCCCAACAATGGTCGCTATCAGACGGAAATATAAGCAATGATGTCCAGTATATTTCTTTTATCTCTAGACTTTTTGGTGAAATAGTGCATACAGGTAGTACAAAACAGTACTATAACATTTCATTTATATATTGACTTAATAATAATTATTTTTAGATTTATATATTGAAACTTCATTTTGTTACAAAATACTCCCTTTGCCTTTTTTTTGGCAGTTTCTTATTCTTCGCTCTAAAATGGTTTAGTTATAAACAATCAATTTTATATTATTTAAGACACTGCAACAAAAGACTTTTTTTTGAAAATTGCAAGGCACAATATTTAACCAAACGGAAAAAATAAATATTCAAAACAACGGCTATTTGTAAAATATTTAAATAAAAAGTTACAAATATTTCAGTTTCATGTTTCTTTCTGGTTGTGTTCCATTTTATGTTAACCTTGTTCTTTGCATATAAATGAACATAAAATGTAAAGCAATCTTTTCTCGAATGTTCCATATAAATCTGATATGATATTTACAATTCGTTCAACAATCATTTTCCGATAAACTTATTCTGGAATATTCAATTCAAGAAATGTAGAATACACTGTATTTTAAACGTAAAAAATACTCTTCAAATGATGCCAACAATTGGAAAATTCAATTACAGTCAAACCTTGGTATCTCGAACTCAGTGGGACTGAGAAAAAACTTCGAGATATCCGTGAATTCGAGATATCCAGGCTAAAATACTTAAAGAATAGGGATTTGGGACTTCAAAGTCACTGTACTATATTATTTAATCTTTATATTGTGATACACTTTGTTCTGATGTCCTCAGTATTATTGTGTTTGTATGTGTGTTTCTTCCTTTTAGTTGTGTGAGAAAACATTTTAAGTAGAGCACTAATATATCAAGGAAAAAAGTGAAGAACATTTGGCGTACTTTCGTTTTTACTGCAACAAAATGCTACTTCAACTTACAGGAAGAAAACATGTTACATTTCTAGGTAAGTACCTTCAGTTTTTTAACATTTATAGGCAAAGAACAGAATAGCTAAACGTGCAATATATCTGCACAAACTAGTTTATCGTATACAATAAAAACTGTAATACTCTAACATAATGAGAATAACTCGACATCAAGCGCATGCCAGTTTAATTTTCTCTAGAGTTCTGAGTTTCACTTTTTTGTGCAGCCGGCTGCAAATCTCAACATTTGGTATTACAGTGTAGTCTTTTCTAATTCTGCATGAATTTTACAAAGTAGTTTTCGAGAATACTGCGGAAGCGTTTTGACAATTTTGCTATGTAATAGATTTTGGTTTTTGCTATTCATTTAAATGCAAATCTTTCAAAAGAAAACCAGTTCAAAACGTCGGATTTTAACTTAACTTAGATTTTCCTCTTGATCATTTACTTTGATATCAATGTAAATATAATATGAAAAAAAAAAATTCAAATAAGAATGCAAATGTCTTAGTAAAGTCTCGTTTAATTGGGGAATGTTAATACTTCACATCACTTTCGGAATCATATGAGATTATTAAGCAAAAAACGAACAGATCAACTGATGAAGTAGAAAAAACGTTCAATTTTGCAAAAAATAAATGCAACAAAACACTTCAACTCACACTGCAGAAAGAAATTGCGAATTCCAGCAATACTCCACACTCCAACTTTCAAAAGAAACGGAAGCATATTTTAGCGTTCGACACAGCAGCACTTCTAATACTATGAAAATTGAGAACTTTTTAGAGTATACACATGCCCTGGTCATAATAGTTTTAAGCCATGTTGAAATATTATCATTGCCAACTCTGTGGATTCACATAGCTTACATACAAAAATGTACAATCTTTTCTAAAATTGTTTGTTCTCTTCATATATTCCTTTAACACAATTATCACGTATAATCTTTGATCTGATGGATAAGCTTTCAATTCTACACAGTTTGTATGACACCAAGATCTATCCTGCTTAAGAAAACCTTCATAATACAACATATATATTTGCCATCTATATCAATAAATATAAAGACTGACATTTATCTGCTGTTATTAATGAAGCTAACATGCATAATTTAAGACATAAATCTTTTAATGATAAATATTTAAATGGAGATAATTTTCTCAGTACAGACAATACACTAGAAACACCCTACATTACTGAATAGAGTGGTTCACTTTCCATAAAGGTGAACACTTCCTTTAAAACTCTAATCACAAACAGATGCTTTCCTACGGTAAAACTATCACAAGAAATTCTTAGAACATTCAATGATAATGCCTTGCTGTGTTAAGCACACTGTATTCAAGCCCTGAATCAGAGGGTTTAGTCATTAAATTAAGGACATGGACTACAGGACCTTGAATTGCACTTACATGTATTTTCCTTTTATTACTGAACAAAATCAATTTTCAATATAGCTTCAGTATTCTTGATTTGTCAGTGATCTCTAGGAATCCCCCTTGGAAGAATCTTGCAGTTTTTACATGTACCAACAAACCCTTAAGCACTGGATACCAGCACTGAGTTGGCCACAGTGGAACCACTATCAAACACACTATCTGGTTTGTCCTCACGTTCTGTAGTGTTCTGCTGATTAGACTGAAAGGAGGAAAAACATAATGATAACCTGTCCATTGAAACGAAAATGCATTCATAAATTTTGCAACGAAATCAGGTTTCCACGAACAATATAGCTTCAACTGTTTGTTGAGACTACATGTATGCAAACAGATCCAACTCAGGGAGTCCAAAAACATAAGAAATTCTGTCAAAAATTCCAACTTCTAGCTTCCATTCTATAGAGTCATTTAATTCCCTAGAAAATTTATCTGCTACATGTATATTGTTTTCACCAGGTACATGATCAAGAGAAATCCAAAAATTGTTATTCATACACCAAAACCAATTGTGTTGTAATAACCTGTTTTTTCTGAATTTGTTCTACCAATGTTATTTAAACACATGTTTGCCTTCAAACATGTATTATCTACCGGTATCATTTTCTTCACATGTATATCAGAGAAATCCTTGCAAAAAGATTTTAGTGACAGATATATTGCAAGAAATTCTAAGAATTTGTAATTAATATGATTTTTTCTTTCATCTACATTCCATTCCAAATTACACCACTATCACAGACTGTTCCCCATCCTACAGTGGAAGCATCAATCGTAATCACAATGTCTGGATTTCCATGATCTATGATTTTTTCTATATGTAAATATTTTCTATCAATCAAAACAAACCATTTCTATAAAATAATGGACTATATTCTACTGCAGAAATACATGTCACAATCAGACTTATTACACTAGCTAGCAAACGAATTGAACAGCTTCCTTTTTCCACACTTTCCTCCATTCCTCGAGATAGTGTCTGCTCTACTTTGACATGTCACAATCAATAATATTTCCTCGAAAAGAAGTATAATGAGATGGTACACATACAGATTTCTTTTCGTTTATGACCAAAACTACTCTTTCCATCCAAATTTAATCTGATACATTTTCAACAAGATGTGTTTGTGAAACATTGATGCCCCCGTATGGCAGCTTATGGCGAAGGTTAAAGTTTCTTCAAATGCAAGTCAAAATCCAGGCCAAAAGATGAAAAATGTTGATACCCAAAGAAAGGTCTTGTCTCAAGGAATACACCTGTGAAATTTGAAAGACCTAGATACAACTGTTCAAAAGTTATGGCGAAGGTTAAAGTTTTTTAAATAAAAGTCAAACGTCAAGGTCAAGGTCAAAGTGGTTGGTATCCAAAGGAAGATCTTGTCACAAGGATTACATATGTGACGTATGAAAGCCCTAGCACCAACCATTCAAAAGTTATGGCCAAGGTTAAAGTTTTTCAAAAGTAGGTCAAACTCCTAGGTCAAGGTCAAAGGGTCAAAGTGGTTGGTATCCAAAGGAAGGTTTTGTCACAAGAATTACATATGTGACGTATGAAAGCCCTAGCACCAACCATTCAAAAGTTATGGCCAAGGTTAAAGTTTTTCAAAAGTAGGTCAAACTCCTAGGTCAAGGTCAAAGGGTCAAAGTGGTGGTTGGTATCCAAAGGAAGGTCTTGTCGCAAGGATTACCTATGTGAAGTATGAAAGCCATAGCTCCAACCATTCAAAAGTTATGGCCAAGGTTAAAGTTTTTCAAAAGTAGGTCAAACTCCTAGGTCAAGGTCAAAGGGTCAAACTGGTTGATATCCAGAGGAAGGTCTTGTCACAAGGAATACACATGTGAAGTTTGAAACCCTAAGCACCAACTGTTCAAAAGTTATGGCCAAGGTTAAAGTTTTTCAAAAGTAGGTCAAACTCCTAGGTCAAGGTCAAAGGGTCAAAGTGGTTGGTATCCAAAGGAAGGTCTTGTCACAGGAATTACATATGTGAATTATGAAAGCCCTTGCATCAACCATTCAAAAGTTATGGCCAAGGTTAAAGTTTTTCAAAAGTAGGTCAAACTCCAAGGTCAAGGTCAAAAGGTCAAAGTGGTAGTTGGTATCCAAAGGAAGGTCTTGTCGCAATGATTACCTATGTGAAGTATGAAAGCCATAGCTCCAACCATTCAAAAGTTATGGCCAAGGTTATTAAAGTTTTTCAAAAGTAGGTCAAACTCCTAGGTCAAGGTCAAAGGGTCAAACTGGTTGATATCCAGAGGAAGGTCTTGTCACAAGGAATACACATGTGAAGTTTAAAACCCTAAGCACCAACTGTTCAAAAGTTATGGCCAAGGTTAAAGTTTTTCAAAAGTAGGTCAAACTCCAAGGTCAAGGTCAAAAGGTCAAAGTTGTTGGTATGCAAAGGAAGGCCTTGTCACAAAGAATACACATGTGAAGTTTGAAACCCCAAGCACCAACTGTTCAGAAGTTATGGCCAAGGTTAAAGTCTCATAAAATTTTGCAAAAGTGGGTCAAACTCCAAGGTCAAGGTCATAAGGTCAAATATGATGGTACCCAAAGAAAGGTCTTGTCACAAGGAATACACATGTGAAATATGAACGTCATAGCTCCAACCAATCAAAAGTTATAGGCAAGGTTATAGTTGACAACAGACAGACAGACAAACAGACAAACAGACAAACGGACAAACAGACAAACAGACAGACAGGACAAAAACAATATTCCCCCGGGATCTTTCGATCCGGGGGCATAAAAATTCTTCTAATGTATCACTTATAAGATAGCAAACATCAAAATAACCAAAATTCAATGACCCATAACTCTAAGAGTAGAAAACAGAGGTTTCATAAAATTTATAAACAATCGGGGAGCATTGGCAATGCTTCTTGGTAATAAAATCAGGAAAATGCAAAAAAAATTTCAAAGCTAAATGAATCTTAAATATTTTCGTTGTTCCTCTGCAATTGATACTGAATAATATTCACGATTAAAATCTAATGATGCCATGTAACAATTCTTCTTTACCACTTTTATAGCTACTTTCAAAAGAATAAATCTGGCAATTATATTAAGGACTGTACTTATTAATTCTTTTAAATTCAATATCGTTCTTGTATCGCCATCCTAATTAGGTATACGAGATAAGAATTGATCTTCTACAAAAGCACATCCCTTAATGATGCACTGTTCACAAAATTCATTTATTTGCTTGTTATTTTTTTCAGACTTTGTATATTAAAAACAGAGTTGGTTATAATACTTTGAGATGGTAAACCTAATTCTTCATCAAATTCAATATGGCAATTTTCTACAATATTTAAAATGATCTTTTCTTATGTAATATTTTGCTATTCAGAGGAATTATTTCTTTAAATCTTCCTGAACAAAAAGTATTATAGTCTGCTTTGGATTGTGCTTACCTCTTCATCTACTTGTTGGAGTCGCCCGCGTGGCGCAGTGGTTAGAGCATTTGCACTAGAATCGCAGAGTAAAGAGTTGATCCTTACGTTACGTTACGTTACTGGGAGACGTGGAGACCGGTCCTTCGGGTGTGACCCATGTCGCAGTAGGTAATGGCAAGAAAAAGATCCCTCACTGCTCAAAAGCCATCAGTTCCGAGTACAGGTCTTAATTTGCAGCCCTCCACTTGCCCAGTTACAAGATCCACATGGATTGATGAGGTTTGATATTGCGAAGGCTCAACAAGATGACCCTGAACTATTACCCTGGATACAGAGTATTTATGATGGATACAAACCAAAGAAGAGTGAGCTATCAGGATCCTTTGCAGACACCATATTGTTTAGAAACTTTGACAAACTGAAACTAATTAAGAACATCCTGTACAGAGAGGTTAAGGTGGATGAGAACAAGTTCAATCATCTTGTTGTACCCTCAAGCTTAGTATGCCATGTACTGAAGTCTCTACACCACAACATGGGACATCCTGGAAGAGAGAAGACATTAGGTTTATTTAAGGATAGATTCTTCGGGCCTGGACAGTACAAGGATGTAGAGAACTGGATTACAGAATGTAGGTGATGTATACTTAGGAAAACACCAGCCCAGGACAAAGCAGAACTTAACAACATCATCACCTCGCAGCCGCTTGAACTGGTGTGTATGGATTTCCTGTGTTCAGAGAGAAGTAATGGAGGATATGAAAATGTACTTGTAATAACGGATCATTTTACTCGTTTTGCCATCGCCATACCAACTAGAAACACAACAGCTAGAACAACAGCAGAGGTATTTTTTAACAATTTTGTAGTACACTTTGCACTCCCCAAACGCATTCATTCTAATCAAGGCGCAAACTTCGAGAGTAAACTTATCAAGGAATTATGTCAACTTTTCGGCATTTCAAAATCAAGAACTACACCATATCATCCGATGGGGAACGGACTTTGCGAGCGCTTTAAAAGGACTTTAAAAAACATGTTAGGATTCTTAGAACAATCAAGGAAAGCAGACTGTAAATCTTACATAGCTACCATTGTACACGTATACAACTGCATGAAACAGGAAACTACAAAATTTTCGCCTTATCATCTTATGTTTGGAAGAGAACCTAATCTGCCAATTGACATTGAATTTGGATTAGATAAAGGAAATCAGAAATCGTCATCCCTTACAAAGTACATAGACAACTTGAAAGAGCGATTGAGGAAATCTTATCAGTTGGCATCAGAGGCTGCAGGAAAATCACAGCAAAGACAAAAGGACAACTACGATCTTAAATCCAGAGGAGCTGTATTAGAAGTTGGTGACAGAGTCCTGGTTAAGATTGTGGCCTATGATGGACGTCATAAACTTGCAGACAAGTGGGAAGAAGAACCCTATCTGGTGATTAGCCAACCAAATGAAGGGATCCCTGTCTACAAAGTTCAGAGAGAAGACGGTGTTGGTAGAGTAAGGATACTTCATAGAAACCTACTCTTACCCATTGGACATGTTGCAGAGTTTCAACCAAAGGTAGATTCCAGAAAAGAGAAACCAGGTCCAGCAATGCGGAAACCTACACCAAAGCCAAGGACTTGACAGAACAAGAGGGAAAACAGTGACACCCAGTCCACTGTCGATACCCAGACAGATACAGGTGATGAAGAAGCAGTCTATATAACAATACCAGATGGAACACAACGTCATCACATTGATGCCCCTAATATTGTGTTACCTGAAGTTGAGACAGAAACTGAATTGTGGATGAAGATCTCCAAACAGTTGGGGACGCCCATCAGATTGGAGAAGATATATTGCAAGAGAATGCAGATAAAGAGACTGCTATGAAACCTACACCACAAGCAGATGATCCAGAATCTGAAGCTGAACCAGCAGCTGTTATTGAACAGAAAGATAAAGTTGAAGCAGCAGAAGAAGCTGAACCAGCAGATGAAGCTGAACCAGAATTAGATGACGTAAGTTCACCTTTTGCTGCTCCACGCAGATCAACCAGGCCTAGAAGAGAGCCAGATTGGTGAAGAAGTGGAAATTATGTGCGATTACAACAGGCGAATATTGATCCGCATTGGTCTGAGAAAGCAAAGTTACTACATACCGGTAATATTCTTCAAGATGAATGATATCAAGGATTTGAACGAGGTGAGATTTTAAAAACTTTACTTGAAATTGTAAAGAAAACTTGAATCTGTAAATTTCAGTGAATTGTATTATAATTTTAACATGATTTTAAATTTTATATTCTTCGTGTAGAATGACGAGGACGTCATTTTGCGGAGGAAGGGAGGAATGTAGCAGTGTGTTTTAACTGTATGTATATTACATAATATTTGAATAAATATTATTGATATAAATGAAATTAAATAAGATTTTATGATTTAATACAAATCCCAGATCCACCCCTTAATTTACTTGGTGAGCGATAGAGTTTAAAGGTTATGACATTAGGGTTCTGTAATTTTATTGGTTGTAAGTTTTGGTGGATCTGAGTTGTTCTCTGATAGACTACTCAGAGATTTTGGCCAGGTTGGCTGTGTTTGACATTTAGAGATTTTCTAGACAAAACTTTGAGAACTTTAAGACCAGACCTGACAGTAAGTATAAAGTTTAATATTCTATATCTTTGTAATATGTCTATTTAGCTAATATCACTGTTTGAAAGAAGAGCGAAAGTTTAAATATGAATAAAAACTTAATTTGAAGCATTTTACCTCACAGTATCAATTTATTTGAATTATGAGTTTTATAGTATGTATAGTACAGTGTACAGTATTTGTTATTAGATACGTAGCCCTGTATGAAGCATCCAGGCTATTTACTATGTTTCATTGAATGGGCCTTGTCCCATAGAGAGGTAATTTGAATACGTTACCTTTTGTATATTTTAAGTTATAATTACATATTGTTACATTTATTGAAATGTGGCAGTAAAATATTTGTGTAAGGAATATTTGTACAGTGATTTATGTATATGCTAAATATTCAAAGAAAGGGAGATAACTCTTAACTGTTAAATCTATTTATTGTACATCGATCAGAATAAGTAAAGTTGTATACATTTGTTATTATTTCATGTGATATTCATTGTTATTATTTTATTTTATAGGGCCGTTTTTGTTTATATTGACTTCCATAAACATTTTGTAATAAACACAGCTATGAACCCTTAGCCAGGAGTTGAGTTAATTACATCTAGTATAAACCACCCCTACAACATTAATCATTGCCCCCGATTTAAGTACTTGAAATATGGCATCATAATTACGTGTTAATTCTTGGTTCAAAATGCTCCACATGGCTTGGTTTACTCTTGTTTTATCAATGCTGTTCAATTGTCAGGCGGCCTTTCAATACTTTTCAACAGTTCATTGAAATATTCATCATTAAGACCCTCTCTGAAAAGTTTGTTTATCATTGAGGCCAATTCATCGTCCACAGTCTTCTTAAATTTATACTCTACACCAAGCTGTCTGAATCGTGAAGTTCCGCAATCCTCTTTATGATTTTTACAGTGGGGTTCACATGAATTCCCTATCAAGGTCGACATCAGACGACTGGTTTATGCTTGGAGTCATCAACAAATCATCTTCTTCCAATTCATTAATATCTCCATAATAGATTTTATAAATTAACTGTGTTGTTCTTTTTTTTTCCATTTTCCGTTCTTGGTTATCTTGATTTTTTTTATAGACTTCAGTAAATACATGACCTCCTACAGTTCCAGTGTAACAACAGCTCAACCAGCCATGTTACGTCCCTTAACAGCACGTTCCTCATTATTCTCACACAAAACAGAGTTACCACTTTCTTTGCTGGTGACCTTTTCTTCTTTCGACTCCTTCAAGGAACCTTTAGAGGATACATTTTCTTTTTCGGCGCGGTCCCGTTCCATTGTGACACACGCCATTTTTCACACTTTGATATTCTCTAAACCAAAGTCACGAATTTCACCAGCAAACTGGAAAAAAGTCATCGTTACCTCGTTACGAATATCCAAATTAATGAAAAATATAACAAACACTTAGTTATAATTATGATAACTACAACGTAGTTATCTTTGATACAAAAACTGACACCGAGAGTAGACCAAGTCCAATTTCAAATGCAAGACCAAAGTATCGAGCTCAAAGTACGCATCTGTTACGTATTTCTAAGTCAGTCTTTTCCAAAAATTATTATGTTATTTGTCAATTTAATCTCTGCATTGTTTAAATCACTCCCCATCACTATTTTTAGAATAGTTTGTTTGCACCCGGTCACTCATTAGGAGTGACGGTCATTTGTTTATACCCCATCACTACTTAGGAGTGATGGCCATTTACTATATATACGGGTGCTAATTTAATACGGGGTTCAGTTTTTAGTATAGTTGTGTTGGGTTTACTTCGCTCAAATATTGTTTCAGAATTAATTATACAGTGCTTGATTGTGTTGATTTTATGGATCTTAACTATGCTTACGTGTAAATAAAAGTTGAACCGATAATAAGACTTTTCATTTCCAAGGAGGAAGTAAATCGCCGGGGGCGATTAAATACTTGGATTAACGCATTGAGCGTTTACATGTACATATAATTGCTACATGCAATAAAAATGGATTATCAATTAATTTACCTGATAATTGCTCGGACGTTACACATCTCATTATTTGATTCCGAAAGTGTTGGTACGTAATAAGAATGATCGTTTATAAGGAGAAACTCAATATAAATGGGGCATGAATTGTCAGGATTTGAAAAAAAAAAAATGCTACTCTGAAATCCTTTCTTGATGAAGAATATATTCTATAAGAAATATCACTGTGTCAAAATTTCTGTTAAATGAATTCACTATGTCTTTTAATTTTACACAGGAATTCTCTGCGTCCATTTCTTGATTGATGTAGACGCCATATGTTCGTCCAAATATGTGAATAACATCTGCGGTACAAGCGGTGCTTTATATGACTGTCAACATCAGCAATTAACTTCTGTTCCACGGAACATGATTTCAGGGGTGATTGCTATTGATTTGTCGATCAACAATATTACAAGTCTTCTCAATTCAGATTTTGAAAGATTGGAAATTTTGAAAGCATTATATCTCATCGGGAACAAATTGCGACATATCGAAATGAATGCGTTTCAAAATTTGACTCAGTTATGTATTCTAGATTTAAGTTCGAATGATATCACAAAAGTTTCAATACAGGAAGGTGCATTTAAAAATTTAAGATCGCTCGAAAATCTAAGAATGACAGACAACCCTTTTTCGAATGGAGGATATCCTGATTCTGAAATAGGAAAGCTAATATCATTGAGATATCTGGCGTTAGATGTTACTCCTCACTTACATTTTTCTACAGAATTCCAGACCTTGAAAAGGCTACAATATCTAGAAATTTCACCATCCAATGATTTCAAATTAGACAATTATTCATTTAAAAATTTGGAAAATCTAAGTATTGAACATTTAAACTTCCAATTCAGTGCCCATTGCGCTTGTGAACACAATTTTGAAGATATTTTCTGGCCTTTTTCTTCTCTAAAGGGATTGAATTTTCATATATATTGTGGATTGCAATATGTTCTTAGTTCTCTGAAAAGATTGCAAACCTACAGAATGGATTACATAAACTTTCAGCATGTTACAGCCTTTAATGGGGAACCTGTTCTACTTAAAGATGACGACGTAGCATATCTTAAGCACATTTGTGTCAAATCCTTTTCTATTCAGGACACTAACACTGTACGAATACCACCATTATATCCTTCAAGATTTATGAACTGCATTGAACAAATTGATCTGTCACATAATAAAGTAAATAATTATCAGACATTATTCATGTTTTTGCAGGCAAGTCAAATTAGAGTCGTGGATTTTAGTCATTTGACTGAGTGCCAATCAGCTATTTCTAGAAGAAACTTAATGAAGTTCAAAGAAAAACTAAAACTTTCGGTTAATGTCACTCTTTCATCCTCTTTGGAAGAGATCGATTTTTCTTATTCTTATGCCAGTCCGTATGTAGAAAAAATGCAATTAAAAATATTTGGTACAAATTTAAAGAAGCTTAACTTTTCATACATAGGCTTTTCACTGTGCTCCTATCATAATATAGAATTATATCTACCGAATCTAAGAATCATTGACGTTACAGGTTGTTCTTGTAAAAATTTATACTTACAATTTTTAAACAATTTTCACTCTTTAATTGAAGTTCATATGCGTAATACCAACTTAAATAGAGGTCTAGCCAAGGATGTCAATGGCGTTTTCCTTCATGGATTGTCGAAATTAAGGATGGTTGATTTTTCAGAAAACGGTTTGAAGGATCTACCCCCGAATATGTTTCGTAGCCAGAGGTCTTCAATGAAGAATATGACACTCAGCAACAATTTATTTTCCACAATACCACGTACCTTACTGCTCACTCCTATGCTTAAATTTCTTAATTTTAGATCCAACAAACTGGCCTCTTTTTCAGATGAATCCATTTCTGTTATTGACAATTTACCCGACATAATGATGGATGTCAGAAGCAATCCTTTCGACTGTTCTTGTAGCGCTCTTGCATCCTTAAAATGGATTAAGGACAATATTAGAAAATTTGTTCATTTGAATCTGACCTATTGTAATGAGGACCAGCAGAAAACTGTTCTTGAGGTTGTAACTAATGTCCAAGCATTAGAATTAAAGTGCATTTCCCAACTCTGGTTGGATATATCCATATCAATTTTGTCTATAACATTTTTGATTATGCTAGTGGTAACGATATTGTATCGATATAGAATGGTCCTTCGTTATGGAATTCTGAGAATAAGGCTATTCTGGAGACGTGGCTTTGCCCTTAATTTTACCCGAGAATCGGCTACTTTTGATGCATACATATCATATTCTCCTGTTGACTCCATATTTGTAACTTTGCATCTCTATCCTAAATTGCAGAAAGAAAACCTTCGCATTTCCTTCCAGGATAAAGATTTTGAACCCGGAAGTACCTTTGCAGAAGAGGTTGTTAAGTTTATAAACATAAGTAAATGTGTTGTTTTTGTAGTTACAGATACATTTTTGAAATATGACTGGGGAACATATGAAATCCAGGTCGCAAAGATTCACGCAATTCATAAAAATGCACGAATTTTATTAATTATAAAGGATGACATCGGAGTTGAAGATCTTCCTCGAGATCTCCTGTACATTTGGTGGAAGATTAAACCAATCAGATGGTCCGATAGTAACAACGCATCAAAGAAGGAACAGTTCTGGAAAAAATTGATTAAAGCTATTAGGGAATCTTAACATTTCCTTGATATAATGCTTTTCATTGTTGAAATTGCAAAAAGTTTGTGTTGTATCCGTTTTTCACAATCAATATTAATGTGTTTTGAATGATATTCAAGAAATTGTAAATTATGTGTTAGCAATATAACCAGATATTAATAAGTATTTTGTTAACTCTTGAACTAAAACGGCTGCTTTGTTTTCTAATTCATTTATTTCATGTGAAAGCTATGAGTTGTCGTTATCCTATGTTACACCAGTTTCAAAAGATCCATTAATAAAGTAATTAAGATTTTTACAAATGCCATAAGCTACATTTTCTACTCAGGCAATACAACTTGAACATATTTGTATACAAATAGTATAATTTTCAATTGGTAGAATATTAATGTACTTTAATTTATAGTTTACATCAGGTCTAGCATATATTTATGTAAAATATGTAATTATTTATAAACAATTTATGAGCCAGTCTGCGAGAAAACCATGCAAAATTCAAAAAATCGTCCAAATGGAAGGTTGCAACATAGGATTTTTAGTGGCTTAAAATTTTCTGCATAAAAGTAGAAGTCAGAATATCTACAAAAAAATGTTGAACCTCGCATCTTTTTTTAGTAACATCTCATTTGCATATTTGCCATAAATCACACAAAATTATACAGAAAAACCATACAAACTTTTTAATACGAAAAGTGACCTCCTTCTGCCATCAGTTTATTTTCAAATTTTGTTTTCTTTTCAAAAACATGGTCTTATTTATACAATTAATGAAGAAAAATGTAATTCAAATGAATGTTTTATTTTTCAAAGGTCTATTTATAGATCCTAAATCAATGAGTATGATTTTTTAGCCATATTTAGATGCTATTTTCTCTCAAGACCAAGTAAAAAATTAAATCAAAATAAGTGTAATCTTTAGAATAGTCTTAGGTCTACTAGGTAGTAAAAAATTGAGCTTGGGAAATAATATCTACATGTTGATAATTAACTTTGAAACACCATACGTAGCTACACTGAATTTCACATATTTTAAATAACAGTCTATTATCATATTTATAGACTATTTCTTAAATATCTAAATGAAAAAAAAAGATTCTAAATCTAATATATTTTTAAAAATAGGAATAACTAATTTAGATACTTCATATAAATTTCTAATGCTCATTTTAGACCCTGCAACCAATTTCCTGAAGTTAAATTGTTATCTCCCCTTGTTGGAACTCTTCAGTATTATTGGGTAAAAAGCAGTCTATTATCATATTTATAGACTATTTCTTAAATATCTAAATGAAAAAAAAAGATTCTAAATCTAATATATTTTTAAAAATAGGAATAACTAATTTAGATACTTCATATAAATTTCTAATGCTCATTTTAGACCCCTGCAACCAATTTCCTGAAGTTAAATTGTTATCTCCCCTTGTTGGAACTCTTCAGTATTATTGGGTAAAAAGCACAGTCCTGTATATCAACATGAAATAAAGAAGATTATGTATGATCATTTTATATGAAACTAGTGAGTTGTGGAGCATCATTGCACTATGGAAGTGGAAAAACTCATTTTTTAAGATCTTTGAATGTGAAAAAAAAACCAACAATCCAGCTTGAACAAGCAAATAGCCCCTGCGCTAAGGCTTTTTATGTTGTATCGCTGTGTAGAAATGGAAATTGTAATAAACTGTACTTGTTAAAACCTTTATTATATGCTTTAAAACTTCGTGATGACGTTTTGTTTACTGGCGTGACAAGCAAACATTGTGCATGTATCATTGTATCGGATAGAGGGCTCATCCTAAAACAAGCAAGGACAAAGCAAGTATCATGATACACGTCTACAATATTCCGCTTGTGCAAAGAACAAATGATTGCAGCCAAAACATATTCCATTCTGCAGTACAAACTGGTAAGAATTACAAACGGGCATGAATGTTAGATCTATAAACATGATAAAGGATTGATAATTTCATTCAAATGGGAAGGGGGTGCTGTCGAATTTTGTCATGGCATTTATTTTATTATTTTTATAATATTATTCATAAAATTGTTTTGTGCTTTGTAATTTATTTGATACTTTGTCAGAATAACCATAATAGTAACAATAATACCCTTGCAGACAGAGTTTAATTTTGGAGATGATAGGAGAATTTTTTTGTATATATGTGTTCACTGAAAACAGTTGGCGATGGGGGGGGGGGGGGCACCATTCAAGGTCACTTTAACTTCTTTTATTCATTATTCATTTTCAAGTTCAGGTTCTATATACATGTGTATCTACCCAGTAGTTTTACCCCACCCATGCACCCACCTCCGTGCAAATGAAATTGAAATGGTTGTTCCCGAAGAAAATGCATGTTATAATAAATAATTAACAATGGTTTATTGTTTATCAGGACGGTTATACCAGTTTCAAACTAAATCAAAAAAGTAAGGTATGTTTATGGATTGATATTGAGAAATTTATTAGCTGTACATACACCCAAATATGTAAAGGTACTCGCATAGGGTCATAAACATAATTTTGGTAAAACTTTTCATTACCTATAAAATATACACATTTTGTATGTCTATTACCAGTCACAATGTAGTGCAGCATGTGTAGATGCAGTTTATCTAAGGAATTTAAAATGTCCATGTAATTTTATTGAAATAATTGTGCTTACAGGTCTGTACACACATTCCTTTTCACAAGACTAGAATACTGTAACATGTATGATATTCAATGATCTGATATATATGCCTATTTAAACAAAGCACTAAAATTATTTAATATACAAATACAATTTTTAAGCGGATGTTGAAAATATTGGTATCAGGCGCGGATCCAGGAATTGAAGTTTGGGGGGGGGGGGGGAGGAAGTAGATAGGGGGTTTGGGGGCCGCCTTGAGGACCCCAGTGGGTTCAGGGCGAAGCCCTGGTGGGGGCTCAGGGGGCGAAGCTATTGATTTTGTAGGGTAAAAATGAGGTCTACCAAGTAGACATTTTACATTTTCTCGACGAAACTATGACTTACGCTAACTTTGACAATTTTAGGGATGGCGTGGCGCCGGGTGCGCCCCACTTAAATCCGCCACTGGGTATGTTGAAATTACTGGATAACACAATTGATAACATAGTAAAATATTTGGAATCTAAACCTGGAAGGGGGGGGTCATTGTTGTTAGTGGTATGAAGAGTCCCTTAAAATGTAAATTTTGGAATATGCAACAACTAGACACCTCAGAGCCGAATCTCCGCAATCTATTTTATTTTCCTCAAGCAACAAAATATAAATGATTTAACAGTATATCATTTTACAAAATCCATTTAAGTAAGATTATAAGAAAAAAAAATGAAATAATAAATAATTAAAAAAAAAACCCAGATTTTAATAATGATTTTTACTTATGTTCCTCATATATCAGAATTATACCGTAATAAAATCCACATGGATGTAAGAAAATTAAGTTCTATGATTTGAAAAAAAAAATGCTTAACTCCCTTACAGAGTATTCTGTGTAGCATTTCGTCATTTTTAAGTCAAGTATTTTGATAATTCAAAAATGTGGTTTTGACAAGATGGCGCCAATTTAAAATTAACAGAATGCAAACAACTTATCGGAGGCTCAAATGTGTTCAAGTCTCATAATTTATATGTATGGTGAACCGTGATGTAATAGAGTCCTCCAGAATTTAAATACATGTAAATTTCATTTTTTTTTATTATAGAGAAACTAATAAAATGAAAGAAAAATGAATATTCAATATGAACGTTGAAAAATTACAAATACGAATGAACATTTTATCATGAATTCATTCCATTTCTAAACAGTTGGCAGAATGCTAATCCTCATATTGGGGGGATTTTTGAAATTTTTATTTAATTTTCAATTTTATTATTTTTTAAATTTTAATTAAGGTTATAAAGAAAATAATAACATTTTTTTCTTATCTAACAACAAGCATTTATAATTTAAAGTTCTATATCTGACTTTGTAACCCATTGGAATTTGAAGAATTTTTGGGAAAATTGGCAATTTGTAAATCTCAGTATCTCAATAAATTATAAGATCCCAAGCTTAATATTTTGCGAAGATATTATTTTGAGTTATATTTTGACAATAAGATCAACAATTTTAATTTTGTAGCTAGGTCTTGGAAGATTTTAGCCATTCAATATGTAATAATTTTGTCAATTCTTCAAAATTGGCATTGTGCCAATTTTTAAGAGTTGTCTACCCCTTGATATGTTGGATATTTGATTATGATAAATGTCAGTTTTAGAAGAACATAGTCATATGTTACTCTAAAATACCTTAAAGGAAATGCAAATTTAATTTTGAGTAAAATAAATTAAATGTAATTTTTACCATTTTGCTTTAACTATTTAAGTGCATTTGCACTTAAATGTGCAAAAAGAAGGTGGCGCTTCCTACGGCTGCCATGTTGGATGATGAGGAAAATTTTTCGCTTTTTTGAATTACATGTTTTGAAGTCTAACTACCCACCAAATTTCATCAAGTTATGACAACCTTCGATTTGGACAGTTTTGCATGGTTTTCTCGCGGACTGGCTCTTAATGACATAACTTAACATTACAGTTACATGTTCGTAGCATAGAGTTAAAACTTTTTTAAAAGAAATGTCATCAAAAATGCCATACTCTATATATGTATTGAATAGATTCAGCTCCTTTATGCCTCACATAAGAAAATAAATTGTATTAAATTTACTTGGTGTCTTTGATGTTCATTATGAAGTATACAAATGTAATTTCTGCAATAAATTATTAACTGTTTGTATTATTTGGTTAACTGTGGTTCTATAGACTTCGAACAGTTTCCCGGGTTTTCCTTGTTACCTCGTAATACGGTTTGGCTGCTTCTCTTTCAGTCATGAAATAAGTGTTAGTATATTATTGATATAGTGATAAAATTGTCACAACAATATCAAGTTTATGTTAGAAGAAGAACTGTTATTGTACAGTGACCAAGTTGTTCAGGAACTCTTAGGAATATTTTAGGAATACTTCGCTATTTGA